GACCGACGTTTCGCGCGGAGCGATGCAGAGCGAGTTAGCGCGAGGAAGCGACATGGGAGGGAAGGAGGGAAAACGACAGTCAAAAGCATTAACGTTTACAAGTGTTCAACGTGGCCACCGTTGTTCTCAATGCACTTCCTACATCTAGCCAACTATTATTATACTATTGCCATAGTGTTTATTCACTTGATACGCGTCGTTGCAGACGGGATTTCGTGGGGTTAAACAAAATTCTGATCAAGTGTCAGCCACACATCGCCGCCTGAGATCGCTCCGTGTGCACCGCCGGCCGGTTGGGTTGCCTACCTACAGGCGCGAAATTCCAGAAGGTAAATTTGGCTCTGGCACCCTTATTTTAGATTTCCGACCCCAAGTGTCCTATATCAAAATACTCCCCTACGCACCACCTACACGCTCCCAAACGGTGGCAGGTACTATAGGAATCACCCTGTATGTATACATAATGTTGTGATTCAAATGAAAATGACGATGTCAATATTTCTTGGAAATAATCGACAATAAAATATTTGTAATTTGTAATTTGTAATTTTGAACTAGTAGCCCAATCTTGGAACTGTTTGAAATTGTGTATTCTACAGGCCACATTCTATAAGAAAATTGTTTTTCCGGGTCGATCTGAGACAATATCTTTCAAGGGGCTCAAAAAAAGCAGTGTACAACCTTCCTTTTTAACCAAAAATAGACTGCACCAAAATTTCTTGGGAAAACACATTTTCTTATTAATTTTGGAGTGTAGAATCCAAAACAATTCGTACTTTTTCGATCAGACTTCTCTATCAAAAGTTATAGACTAGAAAAGAAACCAATTTCGAAAGAAAATTCAAAAGGCTGTAACTTTTGAACTAGTAGCCCAATCTTGGAACTGTTTGAAATTGTGTATTCTACAGGCCACTTTCTATAAGAAAATTGTTCTTCCGGGTCGATCTGAGACAATTTTTTTCGAGGGCCTCAAAAAAAGGCAGTGTACAACCTTCCCTTTTAACCAAAAATAGACTGCACCAAAATTTCTCGGGAAAACACTTTTTCTTATTAATTTTGGAGTGTAGAATCCAAAACAATTCGTACTTTTTCGATCAGACTTCTCAATCAAAAGTTATAGACTAGATAAGAAACCAATTTCGAAAGAAAATTCAAAAGACTGTAATTTTTGATTTAGAAGCCCATTCTTGGAACTGTTTGAAATTCTGGGTTCTACAGGCCACCTTCTATAAGAAAATGGTTTTTCCGGGTCGATCTGAGACAATTTTTTTCGAGGGGCTCAAAAAAAGGCAGTGTACAACCTTCCCTTTTAACCAAAAATAGACTGCACCAAAATTTCTCGGGAAAACACTTTTTCTTATTAATTTTGGAGCGTAGAATCCAAAACAATTCGTACTTTTTCGATCAGACTTCTTAATCAAAAGTTATAGACTAGAAAAGAAACCAAATTCGAAAGAAAATTGAAAAGGCTGTAATTTTTGATCTAGAAGCCCAATCTTGGAACTGTTTGAAATTATGTATTCTACAGGCCACATTCTATAAGAAAATTGTTTTTCCGGGTAGATCTGAGACAATTTTTTTTGAGGGGAAAATTGGTTTTCTGATCGACCTGAAATTTGTTGCGTTTCAGTGAAATAGCAAGGTCGTTTTGTCGACAAAATAATGTTCAACGTTTTCTAAGAATGTTGTATAGAATCCAAAACGTCAAACGTTTTCAAAATTGAACGATTACATCAAAAGTTATTGTAGTAGCCCAATCTTGAAAATGTTCGGGAAAACACTTTTTCCTATTAATTTAGCTTCGTAGATTCCAAAACGTCTCGTATTTTGTCGATTGGACCTCTGAATCAAAAGTTACAGGCAAAAAATCAATTTCGAAAAATAATTCAAGGGGCTGTAACTTTTGATCCGGTGTCCCAATCTTCAAACTGCTGAAAGTTATTGATTCTACAGGCCAAAATGTGTTTTCCCAGTCGATTTCAGACAATTCATTTTTCCGGCCCAAATTGTAGGCAAGTTCGGGAATACACTTTTTCCTATTAATTTAGCCCAAATTTAGTCATTTTTGTATTCCACAGGCCATAGGAGTAAGTATTTCCCGATCGATTTCAAATAAGTATTTTTTCCACTGATAGGCAAGACTATAGCATTGTTTAAAATAGTCTTGCAGTTTCACCGAAAAACGAGTACTCCGAAATGATCAGCAAACACCTTTTTTTTATTTGTTAATTCGGCCTGTATAATCCAAAACGTGTAGAATTTTTAAAATTGGACGACTGAATCAAAAGTGATGAGCAAAAAGGTGTAGGTATATAACTTCTGATATGAATATTTTAATCTTATTTATTTTTGAGAACTAACGCACATACAATGAACAAAGCAAAATTTCCTGCTTTCGTTTGGCCTCTTGATGATGCCAATTCCAAAGATATGGACAACGAATAAATGGAACCTCGGGATTAGCTGTAAGCGAACGGTTCTTCCACTGGTCGTTCCCTCGATGTCACTAGCCATTTTTGATATGAAACTTCCTTATAGATCTTGATCACCTCAGCGGTTAAGGATGGGAGTATTTTCCAAATTGTTTAAAAATTTTACACCTGACTGAAATATGTTGGTGCGAATAAAATAAAAACGAGTCCAACACTTAATATTTCCGTTTATTTATAGTAGACACCAAAATATATGAATATTAGGCACTACCTGCACCTATTGCTTCTTAGCTTTCGCAAGTGTTTTAATACAATGTTGTGTTTGTACGTCTCGGAAGCACTTATGTATTAATCAATAAATAATTACCTACACAAAACTTATTACTTTATTTTCAGTAGGTAACATAAACTTACAAGTTACATCGTAAAGTCGGGCAGGCATAAGTGAAGAGCCGATATATTACGTTCCTGCTTTACCGACCATATCTTGGAAGTGGCTCAATATATAACATACAACAATATTTACCTGGCGCCTGGTGGTTTACTTGCAGCACAGACAACATATACTATTGTCTGTGCTTGCAGTCAAAAACGGACAATCTTAAGGAACACCATTTTTACTATCATGTAACCAGTCTTCTCCAGTTTGAAGTGGGTAATTAAAATCGAAAGTTTCATACAAATCAGACGTGTTCCTGTTCCTATATATACTCGCTTGACTTGAGGTGTTGAGAGTAAGTACCTCATTGCAAAGATAATGTATAGTATTATCTTTGGTAATTGCTTTGAATTGAAACATTTCATAAACTTCGTGCACTTCCCATAGAGGTGCTTATGAGTAGGAAATTCACTTTCCACTACTATTCTCGATGTTGAAATCTATACGGTACCATCTCTTACCATATAGCTATGCATTTACTTATCATTACGCTGTACTTGGGAATAAAATGATTTTCTTAGAGTTGCGAATGTTGAACTAATGGCGCAATTAGTTGGAGTGAATCTAAGAATGCACTCTTACTGGAAATAGTCTAAGATTTATAAATATTACTAAACAAGAAGAAATGTCATGTGATTATTAAACTAATTTGCTTAAAATTGAATGAGGCCATTTTTCAAGGTGGCTCAGGTTAGGTAAACAGTTCTGCCCCGAAACGTTTGCTGTCTTGGCTCAAGTCTGTAAATAATGAAAAGTCGTAGATATAATTCAAGGTTTATTCAAGCCAGGAAAATTTACGTTATATCAACTATGCGAAAAGTTTACCTATATCAATCTTACCGCAGTTATACTGCATTTCGTAAGAAGGGATTAATCAACGGCGGCGTGGCCACTCACGATATAATTTGTGGCGTAGGTTTTCTTTAGCATGGCTTCAGTTTGATGTCTTAGTCTATGGCATAGTATAACATGACATGCGACCGAATGCAAACAAATATTTTCACATCTCATTAAGATAAACAAGTATACACTGTGCACAACTCTTGTGCAGATAAAGCGCATTTTTTAAACAGATATAGCTTTTGATTTGACATCACCAATGGATGTATTCCCGCCCTTTGTGAGTACCCTCTTCCGACAATCCGTTCTTGAGGTATAAGGGAATATACCCGATCACGATAAAAGGTCGAGGAGGAGGAGGGCTATGTTTGGTAGAAATTAATTCCTGTCTGCTATTACAGGGTGGACTTTTAAATTTGGGATACTCAGCTGTATAATCAAAGACTGAATATAGATGTTAAGACGTTCATATAAAAGGATGAAGTTTATACTTGTTGAGAGGTTGTATAAAAACTGTATATTTTATACATCCAGTACATTGCACGTGATAACATTTCACATTTGACATTCAAAGTTTATCTAGGGATATCTAGTGGAACGTTAATCATAAGTGCAAAAAGGGTTCACAAAGGGCGAATATGGTTACTTGGTACAAAATGGTTTATGAAGTGTAGGTGACGTAGCTAAATGTTCCATAGACCGATACCAGCCTTTATCACAGAAGCGTGAATTTAATTTTTTGTTTTTGCGTTTGTACCTTTTATGTATTCATCAAAAGTAGTACCTACCATTTTAAAATTTTTAGTTACATTTCTATCAATTGGTGTCAAGTTACCTAAACTCTCCAATTCTATTTGAAAGACACATATGAGAAATCTGTAATACGCGTGTATACCTATACCCATTCCCATAGGGTGGTTTTTTACCGTTGACGAAATAACTTATCAGTTTCGTTTCATTATAGACGTCTGTAATTAAAAACAGGTTCCCTGATATTATTTTACCTGTTAAACAAAACAGACTTCTATCAATCAATCTTGTACCTAAAGTTTACATTAACGTCAAATAGAGTTCTGTAAAGAAGTTTTTTCTCCAAAAACGATTGGCAAATTGCAATACCTACCATAGCGACATCTATTACACGTATCAACATCCAGTGATCGATTACTTAGGAGTAGTAGTTCTCTAATAGATGGCGTCCTTGAAGAAACCATGTAGGGCGGGTCTTTAAAAAGAAAGCCATGAAAAAGATTTTCATTTACTTTTGTGAAAATAAGAAAGTGCGAAAGTATGTATTGCTCTATTTATTTGTAGGTAATAATTGTTCTTTAAACAACTGATATACGAAGGTTCGTACAATATGTAGGTATATTTTACATGAAGACGTATGATTGCAGAAAGTAATTTGTATACCTACATGTACTAAATGAAGCGTATGATTGCCATACATTAAATTGAGAAAAACATGATATGTGTTTAATCGGCTGTATTGGTAATAGTAGTAATGTTGTTTAATACACACATATTTACATACAAACGACCTTAGTAGAAAGTAGGTATCTCAAATTACTTTCTGCTACTGCAAGCAGCAAAACAATTATTACATTGCCATGCAATGCCGCTTTTATACTATCTAAGAATCTAATTATATAACGAAAACTAAAATACTATCACAAGAACACGAAGTGTAGTTGGGCTAATGGCATGACAAAACTCTCAAAATTTATTCTTAAAAATAATAGATAAAAAAGTTACCAAAATGATTCTGTTACATGTTAGAAAGGATTTCGATTATGTTAGAGCATTTGGAAAGTTTTATTACTTCTAATCAACTAAAATTGGTAGGGTGTCTATCATAGTATATAAAAACGTTTATTTATATTCCCTGTAAACTAGGGATCAAATACATAGGTACCACAAAATATATCAGCTAATAAAAGTTTGAAAAATATCTGTAATCATTTTTAGCCTCATTAAAGTATTCCTGTTAGACACCCTTCCTGAAACTTAAAACGTAGATATTTCTTAACATAGAGGTATATTATATAATGTGTAGTATATAATATATACGCTTCAAATTTACATATTATTTCTATCAACCTAATATTGTAATTTACAGTATCTATATAAGTGACTGAATGTATATATAAAATATACTATACATATAAACAACATATATAATATACCCACATTTAAAATTAGTGATATGAAGATCCTTTTTTCACAAGCGCATATTACAGAAAATTAACAAAATTCAGCCGTTGAAGTACATTTATTCCTGTTTATATCTCCCTCAGCAAACAAGTACATATTTCAAAAGTGGACATCTATACCTATAATACAAATTTCTCTATTCTGATTTTTACGTAAAAATACTAACGGATACCGCGAGATCCAAAACGTCTGCAGACAATTTGAATTGCTCTAATCATTGATATCATTGATTTAATAATTAATACTCATGTAAACAGCAACGAAGCTTCAAATCAAACTTTTACGAGTAACAAAGCAGGGAATCAAGATACGTTGATAGTCAACACTTTCGCACATCCGCACATGGGTAGCTGAAAACACGTTTACGGTGATCATTTAACTAGCCCGAGTATCCCACGTGTAACGTTAGAATGAATATTAGAAAACATGAACCGCCGAGTTTTCTTTAATTAATTGTCATCATTATTTAGTTATCCAATAAATTGGTCTACCACTGCTTTAAAATAAATGACATTTGGAATGTCTTAAATATTTTGTTTTGCGAGAAATTGTCCGCAATCATTCTGGTATAAGGAAAGTAGTATAAACAAGAATAATTATACTCAAATGGCGCAGTAAATAAAACAGAAGTCGATATTTAACCATTAAACCCCACGAAATTCGTCAAACGTTCATATAAAAACAGAGACAATTGTTTTATTCGGACAACTCAACACATCAGTCTGGGCTCTAAAGAAATAATAGTGGTGGACTGGACCGGTGGTCATAAAAGTCTACGTCAAATAACAAGCCGACATCGCAGCTAGCGTCCAACATGACAAAGACGACTCTTGCTCTGCAATTAATTTAAAATTGGAGAACAAGTTATTGATTTTATGTTCCTTACTTAAAATTACAGGGATAAGTAAAAAAATCTACATACAAAATAAAATGATTATCTAAAATTCATACTCTAAGATGTGAAAAAATCCTGACGTCGACGAAATTTGGAAACTAGAGGTTTTACAACATGAAAATAACGACCCCAAAATCAGGTTTTAAAACAAAGATACTGTACTTCTTAAAAAAAATGATGACAATTGCGTATTTAAACATTTTTTGTTGTTGTAGTTGTATCTTACTAAAAATCGCCCGATGCTTCGTAGATTCACCAACTCGTCTAAAACCACTATGCAATAAAAAAAAGTTGCTCTCGAGTCACCTTTGGAATTTTTGTTTACATGGGAAATTGAACTTCCAAAGGCGACTCGATGTCAATCTTTTTTTATCGCCCGTTAGTTATCCATGCCGATTACATGTAGGTCCCCCGTCTGCGGCATTATAAGCACTGCGTTTCTATACGAATTCATTGAATATGAGAGAGAAGTAATTTGCTTATCAGCCTTAACTTTCCGATTTTCGTTGTAACCAACAATTGCAGTTTTGTGAATTCGATATTTTAAATGTCAATGTTCAAAGATTCATGTCAAATTTAGTGATCAGAATTTTTTCGCACTCCTCTTAAAGGATTACCAATCTTTGAAGAGGAATTTTTGCAACATTTACAACAAAATCAGAAAAGATATACCGAAAAACCCAGGTATGTTCATTCGTTTCCATCAATTCGCTCCAAAGCATTTTAAAAACATTGTAAAGCAACTGCGCACACAATTGAAAAAAAAACGCTGCCTACAGTTATCACCAAGCCCAGGGTATACACCTATGCTTTATGTTTTTAGATAAGTATAATTTACACTATTTTGGCATCCCACAATTAGTTGAACTTTCCAGTTGCCTAAATCTCCGTAGTTCCCCACCGGCAGATAGGGATGGTGATAGTGAGAGCTTTTTCGTTGTTATTATGTAAAAAAATATAGATACCTACTATAGGCGTTTGTAGACTCGAGTTTAAAAGCTGAATTAATAAATCAATATACTGCTTTGGTATCAAAATAAAGCCCGTTACGTTCTACGTAGCCATTTACCGTTCCAAGTGAAGAAAAAAGTACATAAAACCCAAATCATCTAACTCAATTGCGTCATATGATTGTCTTGGGTTCAAGGTCAAGTGTCAATATGGGTAGTCCGATGTTTCCCGGGAAATTTAATGCGCGAGCACACTGATAATTATGTTACAAATTGTGTAATAATTGTTACGAAATATAAAACCAATAATTAAGTTTTAAATTATTCTGAATGAGTGCACTCTTTTCGCGACAGCACGGTCGGACAGTACCCTGTTAAGGCTATATTATCCAGGACATAAAAATCAAATTTCGAAAAATTAGTAGATATGCGCATTATAAAGAGCTCAATAGCTGCATAACTCCTACTATTCAACAGTATTTAGTGCATCTACCCTGTATTCAATTTGCTAACATTGGGTGCGATTTAATTGAATAACTTTTGTTTTTATGGATGTGTACTATTGTACCTACCGTGTTGGCGCGCGGAAATACTTCCTAAAATATCCTCAAAAATGGATTATTACAAAGAACGCAGAAACGGACGGACACCAAGCCAATCCCTTTCAAATGCATTTTTTAAAAATTTAGTTACCTTATCAAACTCGAATCTACTTTATGCATCAAAAGTGTGGTCGCAGATACTTTCCTAAAATACTTTATGAAACCGTGTTATGAACAGTACCATAAATATTGAAATAATTGTACATATTATAATCAACTGGCAAGAACAAAGCAAAAGAAGAAGAAGTAGAAAAGAAGCACCTATACCTCTTTCTAAAAGACTCATTCATATATAGAAAACTGATCGTCCATAAAAAAATAAATAAACTTTAACTACCATTCATTATAAACAACTAGGCAAATCCTAGTAGGAGTTAACTTTAAAATTTTATTTTATTCTCTATACGGAACTGTAAGTACAAAAATGTGGGGTTTAAACCACTAAATATCTCCTTCTACTACTGAAATCGAAAAACTGCGCTTGCAATATTACTAAACCTTTGTAAAAGTATGAGCATTGAGAAATGTTCAACAAAGAAAAAGGGTAACAAACGTAACATTGGCTTTTAAGGACATCATAATATTGTTAGGAAGCTTGGAAGCGTGTGATGGCGATCTATGAAATAAATTGTACTGCAGACTTTGATCACGAACATTCTGCTTCACCTTGTGTCACTGATATGATTACATAAAAAAAATAACATTTTAATGTCTTTGAAAGACGGTTTTGAATGTTATCCGTATAACTAATAACAACAGGATACGTCATACGTCACAAGTTTAAAATCACCCTGTTAATATATAGGTAGTAATTTTGCGCGCGTTGGTTATTTTCGGACAGTAATATCTCGGTTGCTTTAAAGGCATGTGAGCCCGTTTTTGAAGCAAAATATGATCATACGATTAGCCGCTTTAACAGAACACGATATCGACTACGAGCTTGCTTAATCGAGATCACCGATGAATCGTGCCTCCGTTTCCGCAAAATATTCGAAGAGCGAATACTTAACAAACTTTTCGCGCAATATACCTATGTCACAGTTGATGATATATAACAGAGGTCCACACCGAATAGCCTCTTTAAAGTTAGACGTCCAAGATCTTACATAACATCTATGAATATTGAAGTAGGTAACGTTATTATGTACATTTAGCTTATCTGTACAAATTCAATGAAGTTTATTATACACAAGCTAACTCGATTTTCAGATATGCGACTACTTTTTACTACAAGTATTTATATTAAATGTAAAACCAAAAACCCTTCCGAGAAGGGATCTGAGCCCGCACTTCACAAAAACTTACACTATGCATCGTCGATCATGTTCGAATCGTTATGTTGAAGATGTTGGTGATGAAGATGGTGATCTTGGGGTGATGTGATCGTCAAATCTTCGGCCATCCCATCAACTTGTGGATCTTGATCGATGTCTTCGTAGTCGACGTGTACTTCACGTTTTATAACGTGATGCACAGGATGCTCTGATTCTCGAATCGAATGGTGTTCGGCAGTGAGAGCGTGTTCTTGCTTTATTAAAAGCCCACCATTTACGGAAGCCCTATGCATTCCTCCCCTACATTATCGCATGACGTATGACCCCCTATTACATACTAAAAACTTACCCGACATGATCATGACTCGGCGACTGCGAACTATCCCTTAATCTTGAATCCCGACTGCACACATTGGCGCCTCCAGTAAGGAATGACATATTATCATCTAACATAGTGGCCTAGGCAAACAGAAGGAGTTTTAAAATTTTTATAGTCAAGCGATTTCCTCACCTGGATCATATGATCCCCATACATCGTTGGACTGTGGTTTAATGTAGGACTCTTAGATGCGCCACCCCTGAATAAATCGATTTGTCATAAGAATTGCATGGTATGTAGCAAAAGTAGTAAGTAATTACAAACAGTAAGTGTTAAAATAAAGCGAAGACACTTAGATAAAAACTAGAAACAAGCAAAAAAGAGGTTGAACATTTTACTACCTTCGCCGTTGGCACACTTTGCTAGGAGTCACGAGCGAGCGAGTAAATGTAATAGAATAAAAGCAAACAAACATCTAACTTAAATAAATAGTATCATTCACAACAATTAAAATTCGCAAATTCCTGTGTGAAGTTTACCTGCTGTTCCTTTACGCGATGGTCTAATCCAATGTACATAAAATATGTATACATTTTTTTCACACAGGAACATTAACTTGTATATATGGTAATATAAACTGGAGGTTTAAAATCATGCCAAAAATGAATAGTATAGAGATTAGAAAAATTACGAAGTAAATACTAGAGAGTTACCTTCCGTATAGATTGGTTATCGCAAAGGGAACTGTTCTTAAACTCACATTCATTCTTCGCCTTTATGAGAAATATTTTTAGCATTTCCGCTCGAGAACGCTAAAAATATTTAACCCTTTTCCAACATTCTGTAAGCCGGCCCATCGATCGCGCATTTTAACTATAGGTTAATGATATCTAATAGTGCTTTGCAGCCGCATGTAGCGACATGCAGGAGCAGCAGGCGCCTAAGGGATAAAGGAATTGGACAAAACATTTTGGGAAAAGACCATGCACTTCAAAAACATTCGCCAAGTAACCATAAGTAAAAAAAATTCTAAACACCGAAAAGCGTTACCTATCTATAATAAAATTTTGACAAGCATGAATTTAGGAAACCATTTGGTTTGTACCAATTATCTATAAATAAAATCAATTTTCAACCGTTAAGACATCTACTATATTGGGGTAGAATGCGACAAGCAGCAGCAAGATGAGCAATAGTAGCAGCTGGTTGCAAGGCATTGCAATAATGCCGCTGCGCGTTTATAGGTGCTTACTGTGCGCAATGGGGTGGTGGAGTGGGTGATGGGGTTGGGTCATATTTCCGCGGCCGACCACGTGACAGGTGGCGGCGCTTCACAAATTCAGCATCGTCCACCATCCAAAATGACCCAAAGTCGTCTTCGTAGCGTACAAAACACTTGTGGAGTGATAGATTGGTGCGTATCGCATTCTACACACCCATACCCAAGAAAGAGAAATATCACAATCAAGTGAGGTCAAGGTAATTCATTGGTAAAACCTGGTATGGAATGTACCTTCTGGTCTCCTGCAGTTGTTAGTCGCCCAAGCCTGCTGCGTTATACTGAACCGGCCTTATCGCACTCTCTTACACCTCTCATTCACCATGACGCACGCACAACACGCAAGCCACACAGCGTTAATACGAAAAGAATAATGTATATGCCTATATATGTGTAAATATTATATATAAAAGACCATGTAAAAAAGATATTAGAAAAAGAGATCAAATCACAAAACACACAATATACAAATCGAAAAAAGAATTTAAGGGCGGCCTCGATGACGTACCCGACGACTGGTTGAGCTAATGGACCGGATGAGCAACGTTGAGGTCGTCTCTTGTAGAACTCCACTTCGTCCACGGTCCATACTGCACCCTTAACGTTTTCCACGCGCATGAAACATTTATGGAGAGATAGGTTGTGGCGCACTGCATTCTAACAACAGATCAAACACCGCCAAATAATCAGTACCAGAAAGCGCAAATGCGACACTTTCCTTTAATATTAGCACAGCACAAAATCAGTTAACATAAAATAAAAACCCGATGCTGGCGCAGGCTTCCGCATCCCGTTCGTGAGTACCTACGACCAAGCGTGTTTAATTGACAACTGCCGCTGGTCAAATACCTCGCCGGCAGTTATCGAATAAACAAAGGGCGTAAGTATAAATTTCGAAAAACATCAACAAATATTCGCCATTTCATCAGTTTGCGAATAAAAGAATGGTTATTCATATATTAGATAAAATCTCGATGAAATGGTTAGAGTAAATGTAATTGAGTAATACCTTCCACGTGGCAGCATTTCTTCGAAAATAGCAGAAGGTGTTTTGAAACCAGTTATATATCTCGTTAAGGGTAAGCTGTTTATCTGGAGATTCGATTATCGACTAAAATTAACAAATTAGTGTGCAAAGCGGTCCACCGAAATCAGAAAACGCAAGTGCTATACCTGTCGAATTAAAGAAGCGTACGTGAAAGGTGGTCGAACGTCTGCATTTTTGTAGAATTCGCGGTTTCTCTGTATCTCTGAAAATATGACAACGATGAATTGCTTATTAAATTGTGAAAAGTGTGGATTTTAGACCTTGTTGTACATCAAGTCCTGCCCTCTCCAGCATATAAGGCAGTCCTGTTTGGCGGCAAAATGTGAAAATTGTATGTAAAGTTTTTTTTTTTGCAGATGCTCAAAAAAAAGATAACACGTACCTCCTGCCAGTGACAAGGCAGACTTGTCGCTGATACGTCTCCGTATTGGACCTGGGACGTTAGGGGCAGTGGCTTGTAATACTGGGGATCGGACTGTAGACACCAAGACTCCCATGGAAGATGCGGGTGGTGGTACTACGGTATTAACTGTAATTTTTGTGGGAGGCGGGCTTTCTTTTAAAGGTTCGGGGGAGCCGAGTTGTTTAGACATGTGTAAATGGTGCATCATCGCTTGCAATCTATCCCTTTCTTTTTGCAATTGTAGTTCTAATTGTGATACCACCTGCATTTGCACCCGTGCCTGAGCTGTCGAACGATCATCTAATGCGTGTTCGGTGTTTAGATGTCTGCAAGTCAAAAAAACAACCGATTAATCATAAAACCGTTGTTCAATTTTGACTCGTAATCCTCATAAGTTTACGATTAGTATGTAAAAGGAAAAGGGCGCACGAAACTGTCAAATTATAATATTTTGTCGCCTCCTTGGTAAAAGAAAGGCGACCTGGAATAAATTAAGAGCGGCATCGCGGTTTAAAAACTCTAATTACGCCATGTTTAATTAATATGCAAGACGTTTGATCACACCGTAGTAGGATTTAAATGTTAATCCCCGGCATGACTTTATTATTTTCCCCTCGCTCTACTCGGTGTAAAAGGGCAAGATTCCTATATTCTGTCACTCACTTCATGAAAGATGGTAGATCCTCACATATAACTTCGCATCCGGGCCATTTACATACACCGTGGCCATATAAATGCTGAACTTTGTCGGTGCCCGTTCTTTCGCCTTCCAATTTGTCTTCGAAAAACATATCGTCTCGGCGATTCGGGATCGCCGTTATAATACCTGTAAATTATGTTAAGCGAAAATGCGTGTAACAATTTCAACGACTTACCATTTACGTCGGGCAACGAACATTTGCTATTAGCCGTGTGAAGTTGTTGGTCGTTTCCGTTTGGCGGTTCTTTCCACGGACTCATCACGTCTCTAGAGGTCAGCCCTGTTCAATAAATGTCAGTTTCAATATCCTTTCGGACGTAACCGCGACGGTGGCAGCTTCACGTGCGTTTAAAACCGAAGGCGTTGGTGGTCGAACGGGTTCCAGTATGGGTAGAGAATCAAGGGATGAAAGGATTAGGGGAACGGGCATGTGCCAATAGTTTTAACCACACGTGAAGCAGTGGCGCTTTTAACTCGGTTCTGGAAAATTCATTTCGCCGATCAATAGCGACTAAAGAAACCTACATCAATGCCGATAATTAATTATTGCAAGTGGCATTGCCCAATTTAAAGGTTCGATTACTAAACGAGGGTAAAATGGACAGACGGGAATGGGGAATACATACCTCACTGGAACTCGTCAACCGTGATACTCTTCGACCACACGCAAACGATCCACCATCATTTAATAAACTTGCTGACTTTATTTCTTTCATGCATTTTTATTCCAAATTAGTTTACTTACTATTGCAAAAATGTACGCATGCATAAATTCATTTTAAAAGCAGTAGTGTGCGCAAATTTATTTTATAACTTTCGAAATAAAGTTATTGTATCGCATATAAATATTCGAAAGCTTGACGAGCTGTTATTGACATTTGTTAAGTCTTGCACGACCGACGAGAAATATTACTCTTCGCTCCTACCTGGTCCTTGAACTAACATCATCGGTTGTATCCCCATGCCTTGATGAACCACGTACTGTCTTTGTACAATTTGAAGCTGCTGTATAAGTTGCTGTTGCTGAAGGGCTAGTTGTTGCAAAGATGACGATGAGGTCTTCTTCTTATCGCCACTTTGCAATATTTGTGTTTGTTGAATTAAATTTAATTGCAGTTGTTCCTGCAATTGCTGCATTGTCTGCTCAATTTGTTTTTTACCCAATTCGACCAATTGCTTTTGCTGAAAATTGGTATCAGTAGGTACAATCCGTCTGGGAGCACTTTACTACCTGATGATGTTGTTGAAGTAACGAGTGCTGTTTCATCAAGGACTGTAATTGTGAAGGACTAAGTACGTGCTGTTGTAACAATTGTTGCATATGGTGAAGTCCGGGAACTGGCGAAGTCATCATCTGAGATGTCGAAGCTGTTTGCGTCTAAATTATGCAAATCACCCAGCACGTTCTTTATAAAAAAGGAAACGTACCTGGGACGCGGGTACGGATGCGTTATGTGTTTTCTGTGCATCGGATGCCGGCGGAGGCGAATGCTCCTGCTGCACGCGTTTTTCCGAAGACGGACTTGTGCTACCATTACCTTTTATGTCTCTATCTTGCTCCCAAACTCGCTCCAGATCAAGCTGCTGTTGCTGTTCCTTCAATACTTTTTCTAATGACGCAGCTTGCTAAAAATGCAGAAAACAATACTTATACAGCAATAAAAATAGAAAACGGCGACAACTGTATATATTTTTATTGCGTTCGTATATGTATGCATATCATGGCATAGAAATGAGAGGTGCATGTTTCGGTAGTAAAGCGCAAAGGGAGTCGTGCATGTGATAAATGTGATTGATTTCCCGCGCGTGGAACGGCTGCGAACGGCCGCATTAGGACCTCGGAAGCTATGTGTCTCTGAGCAATGGTCCGGTCATAATACCTGTACACTTCCACAAATATATAGTTCCTTAAATTCTCCCAAAACTAACTTGATGGATTGCAGGGGCACGCACCTATATACTTCCAGAATAAAATATTGTTCCTTTATACGAATACGACTTAGCCCCATTCCAGTTTTTCTATAACCAAATTATTACTCCACATAAGCGCAACTCAAAGCGTTTTCCTTGATTATTGTCTGCGAGTATAATTCAACCGTTTGCAATAATAAACCAACCCTCTGCCGCACAGTATAAACACCGACGAGAAACAAGAGGGTCCGCTATTCTGTTTTCCCCATATTAATGATTCAATATCAATTAGCGGTACACTGAATTATATAAACTTAATCTTGACGTTGAAAGAAAAAAGAAACTCGAGAAAATTGAATGTAACGCTCAGAAAATTGAAACTGACTTAAATATTTAAATAAAATGAGGCGACTAAAAAGTAGACATCTTCAATACTTACTCTGTACTTGTTTACTAAACATTCAACTTTTCTTTATTACTTTTTTATCGATTCTCGCGAAATATCTCATGAAATTTTTAAAATGTAAATTTTAATTTTAGAGCAAATTCAAGAACTGAACATTCGCGAATATTTATTAGATTAAAAGGGTTCGAAAATACGTTTATTCAACGTGGAGCTATATTTACATGCAAATCAAAAGAAACTGTGATTGAGTATTGAGATGCAGAACAGAAATACTTGTTCAGTAACCGAGTAAATAGTTTACTTAATTATCCTAAATATAAATTTTTAAGGAGACATGTAACAAAGGAATGGCCACAATTTTTCGTTTCAGTGCAGTTAACTAACACACTATACATAAATACTGCCTATCAAACAATTCGGCTTTGTAGTGTGGTTGATTAGATCACTTAGTTAGGTACATTCGCAAAGAAACTGCCTTGGGGATGTTGGTAAATTTAACACGAAAAGCTATAGGTATATATGTATATGAAATGAAGCAATTATTTTTCAGAAGACTTACGCTTCTTTCAAAATGGTTATTGTAACTTTCGGGTTCTTACTTACGAAGTTCATTGTAACGCCACACAAAGTAGAAGATATTGGGACATTTGAATTAAACAGTTGCTAAACGATTTTGTTCGCATATGATTTGATCGGGCGTTTCTAATTATCGGCGTACTAAGGAACAACCATGTGAAGCCACCTCAGACGGGCTCAACAAAAAGAAACATTTGGCACAACTTTCCTTTCTGGACAGCAAACCAGCCCCCACGCCGTTATAAAATTAAAATTACCATACCATGTTCTAGCGCTAGCCTTATTGAACACAGGGCATATCTCTACTTTCCCTATTTCTACTTTTACTACTGCTATAGATGTTAGTGGACGATAGCAATGTGTAGCTGACATAAATATTATCATAAAAGCGTATTATATTATCCCTTTAATCTATCACAAAAAATTATGCTTATGTGCGTATAACAAATACAAGTTGTACAGTTACGCCAAGGCAAAGATTATCAAAGTATATTTATTCCGAACCATCTTTCAGAACACCTCAATTATTTTTCTGTTAAACGAATTTAAATTACGCTTAAATTTGCAAGGTGTAACAGCTCAAGACATGTGTAAGCCAGGTAAATATAAAGCATAGTTACAGATCTTAACTAAATTTATACGTCTATCTGGGATGTGAAAGAGGCGCCAGATCTATAGGTATGTGAATTTAAAGACCTTCAATGGAAATTACAATTTATCTAGAAATGTGTATATTAATCAGGAATTTCAATGGCCCTGCAGTTGGTTCAGTACAAAAGATAAAAGGCACATTGCATCCTATAGCAGTATCGCACATCCTTGAGACGACCTCTCTACCGACCATCCCGCCATCGTTTACCGACGACATGTAAACGTTAGTGCACCTTAAACTTGTTAAATTAATAATTTCGCTTAAAGTTGTGAGGAAAATTGAAGTTTTTCGAACTAATGTTAATTTAACTTCAATTTTTCTCACAAACTGCAATATATCACTTACATCTGTAAATTTCTGTAAATTCACAAAAAGATGCAAAAATTCTCAGAAAGATTTGTAAATTCCCAAAGAGATCTGGAAGATCTTTCGAATTCCCAGTGTAAATTGCAAGTTAGATCTGTAAATTTGTATGGCCCGTCTATGCTTTCTTAAGAAAGTAACGCGACCGTATTGTTTTCGATTTTTTATATACTCCCTTAATAGCATCCTTTTTAGCAAGAGAACGTAACTTCACAATTCTCATCTGGTTTTAAGTAACCCTCTATTAAAATAAGGGTAATTTTTTTAAATTACTTATTAATATGAAAAAGTAAGAAGTCTAGTCAGTATGTGACAAATGTATACTTACATAACAAAAGAGAATCCCTTTTACTAAATAAAAGCAGAAGTGGCGTTATTGGCATGGTTAAAAGGGGAGAATGGACATTTTTCTACCGATTTTCCTCGTTAATTCAAGTAAAATTACGGCTCGAGCTCACCTAAAACCATTGGTATTCACTACGAAACTTGACGCAAAAACTGGGAAAAAACTTCTTACCCCTGATCACATATTTCATATGCAGAGGGCTGTTTTGCTTGCTGGCGCAATATTATTTCCATATTTTTCACATAATGCGCTTGTGTATATGGGTTTTATTTCATGTGACATCATGGTAATGCATTTTAACGTCTTATCATTCATTGCGGCGTCTTTGCAACTCTTTATGAGGAAGTGACAGAGATAAATATTTGTTAGGGCACGACCGGGGATGGGGGACGGTTTCTTAATAATTTTTATTATGTACACGAAGAGGTTTGGTAGTCATAAGTATTAAAAAGGTATTGTGAAACAGACAAGTCTTAGACGGCGGAAACAAACTTGAGCACAACCAGCTACTGTAGGGGTGAAAGAACAATGCAATTACGGATCGAGAGTTAAAGTAAAAAAACTTCATCCGAATAATTCGCCGAAGAAAAATACACTTGAGTAAATATCTGTATCTGTGATGAGCGAGGAGTCGGGATATTTACACGGCGAGCCACCGTTAGCAATTTAAATATAAAAGACTGAAGCGAATCAGTTCCGCCGAGCAATAATAATAGAAGGTGGCGAAAACAGAACGGAAAGTTGCGGTGCGAAGCGAACAATGTGTATAAGGGTGCCCTGCCATATTATTCAATAAGCGAGCGTATATATCCCTTGACAAATGTACAGTTTTAAAGGAGGCCGGGAAAGTGACATAATTTACAGCAGTCCACTCTCAATAAGGCCCATGACTGCCGAATTTCATACTTTATGAAGCCGGCAGTGTACTTAACAGCGCCTCTAATTTATGAATGTCCGGCAAAATCTATCGAAGCACCATATGCTGGCCTGCTAGCGACAGCCATCATTTGTAACTTCTCGAGTTGGCTGCTAAACAACGTCCCACTAAATATTAATAACTCTCTATTACTTACTCTTACTGGCTTTAAGCAATTTATTAGTAACCCTCGTAATTTTTAGCCAGATTAATTGCGACGCTTTTGCCATTGTAACTACATTTATCCTTACCGTACACTACTATAATAGCTCCAAATATGAGTAATTAAAAGAATTTACGATACCACAACGATATTACCACACAAAAGGTTAAAGAGGAACAGAGAATTAGGGGAAACGGGAAGTAACGGCGCGTTTCCGCAGACACAACGCGTCTCAGACGTAAGCGCGGGAAATGGGAAAATTGGGGCGATGTTTATATGTTGTTGTGATGCTATATATAGTATACAGCAGTGTACAAGCATTCAGAGTGAGGGTGGGTCGTGGATTCAGTTCAACGTTGACTGCCGAGAAGGGAGCGTCGGGACGCTTGCCGTCGGGACGCAACATCGAAAACGCTCCCCCGTCACGTACAATCTCTGGTTACAAAAACGTTAGCAATTTAAATTCCACACATAATTTATAGTCGTTGTTAATTATTAAAATTCGTTATAAGTAGTTGTTGACAATGGGCGTATAATTAGAAAGATCGCCGTTGACATGAGCTCCATGGTAGACGTCGCCACCAATAACATTAAAGGTTGGTATATGCGCCCAGGAATTTGACATAACCTGACATCTCGAAAGATTGACGAATTAAGATCGGTCATCATACCTGAGCGACAGGAGTCAGCATACGCGTCTCGCAGTACTTCATTAGTTCACCTAAACTAGTAGAACACTCACAGAACAACACCTAAACACAACTAAACACATAAATGGTAACAGCGCCTATTAATTATTTCTTTTTCGCTAGAAAGAACAAGAGTTAGTTGTGTTGCGCAAAAAGGGTCATCGAAGTCGCCGAGAAGCTAGGATGAGTCGTAGGCGGGCGGCGCGCCTTTGATGCGCCGCTGCGCTGCAGTTTGTGTTGTTTGTATGTGTGTATATCTCGATCGGAGGCAGCGGGCGGATACACCGAGTCGCTCGCGCAACACCAACACCTCCAGCCCGCCGCCTCCTGAAGCTTGTGGTGACACTCCCGGAACAAATCCCATATATATTCTCATGACCAGGAAGGCAACGTCCTGCAAATATTCATCTTCGAGAACAAATTTCTTCAAAAATTACATTGCCGTACCCCCCCCCCCCCCCCCGTCTCTCCAAAACAGATCGAAAGTAATAAACAATTGCCGATGCGCCCCTTTAAAAGATGAAAAATCAAAAGTCGAAAACTTATCTCAGGCTAAACAAAAGACGGCATCGATCACGCGACTAATATTAAAAAATCGCGTCCC